TTGTCAGGTCAAGTTTAACATGTAGGTTAGCTTCATTTTACGTTGTCAGGTCAAGTTTAACATGTAGGTTAGCTTCATTTTACGTTGTCAGGTCAAGTTTAACATGTAGGTTAGCTTCATTTTATGTTGCCAGGTCAAGTTTAACATGTAGGTTAGCTTCATTTTATGTTGTCAGGTCAAGTTTAACATGTAGGTTTGCTTTACTGTGTGACGGTAGGTCAAGTTTAACATGTAGGTTAGCTTTACTGTGAGACGGTAGGTCAAGTTTAATGTCCAAATTTTCAAAGCTTTGATATGTGAGGCAATGCCAAGTTATCCATGTTATCTTTAACAATGAAGTGCAGTAAAATTTGTACAGGTTAACATCCACAGTTTCAGTATTATGTGAAGTTTAACACCAAGTTATCCATGTTAACTCGACTGGCTTCAAATTGTGAAGTGCAAAGTTTCAAAGTGGGATGCCAAAATTATTTTACTTCTCGAGTTCAAACTTTAGTATTGTGAAATCTACAAGAATTGATTATCAAAATGGATGAAGACTTTTATGAGACGTGTGTCTCCCTTAATAAATTTACTACACCTTGTTAGGTGTGGCTGAAGGAAAATTTCATTAAAACACACACCACACATACTACAGAACAATTAATTTTACACTCCAAAGGATTATTGGAAATTCTTGATATACAAATAGAAATATCTTTATTAATCTCTTTTTAAAGATTTCATTTGAAAAGTCACAAGCTTCTACAGTTTTGCTATACACAAACTTTTGTCTTTCTGCCAATGGAAATGAGCATTTTTTCAATATGTATAATACACAATGTTTTTTAATGAAATTAATATACCTACTTAGCTCTTCATATGAGATGTTTCTCTATTCAACTAATCTGGAATGAAATATTAAATATTTTTAAAAACAAAATTACCCTCCGGCTAGTAAATTTCAGTGTACCTGTTGATCACCAACACTTTTCGTTGATAACTCTTCTCTCTTACACAATATAAAATTATTTCATACCTGTACAAAGCGTACCTTTTTCTGGTGACTGAATTATCACATAAACACATGAACTATATTCAAAACCTTCAATTTTAATTTTCAAGCATTTCTGAATTGTTAAACAATTAGTTTAAGTTTAATGGTTTAAGCCAAAAATAATAAGAACAAAAAATACACGATTATATTTTGTGTTTCGTGATATACCTAATACCAAAGTGGCTTTTTGGTTTTAATAACGATTTATATATAAAAAATTAAGTAAAAAAAAAAATGATTTATTGTTTTTCACAAATTTTTTTTACAAACTAGAAAATAGTTCTTAGTAGGGTTCTTTCTCTAGGTTATTCACAAAGTTGTAATATCTGTTTTTTTTAATAATAAGTGAGTCAAGTTTGGGATGTTTGTTACTCAGTCAAGAAACAGTGAAGCTACTACAGTAGATAACCAATCACAATTATGGAGTAAAAGTGAGTTTTATAAATCAATGGATTTTGTGAGATGTTGTCAATAATTTCACTAAATTAAGCTTTTATGAATTGCTAGATAATACAACTTTTCATCCGAAAATGAATAGCCCAGCAACACCGAGGCAGTCTTATATATCGTTAGTGAAACATCGAGAGAAAGAATGATAATTTTTCTCTTTTCTTGATAAGGAGAAAGGTTTACGGCTTCTAATCACACTTGTTTCTTTTTGTCTTACAGAGAAAATTATGAGTAGATCTTCTTAATTTTCTTGGCAGTAATTCTTAACACTTGCACAAAGTGTCTAAAAAACATCAGAGGACAACTGTGCAGAATCTGAACAGTATTTCCTCATAAACCACACCTTGAACAAAAAACATTCCTCCTTGCAGTAATCATGTGAACAGCTGGATTTTAAAGCACATCTGTATGACATTATACCTATAAATCATTAGGTGTGCCATATTTTAACTGCTGGTTCCCAAAATTCAAATTTCTCTACTGTCTCCACTCCAGGATAAATACTTTAGTTAGATATACAAAGAATGTGTGCAGTGCTAGGAGTCAGGGTTTACTGTACCCTTCAAGTAATAGAATCCAGACTTGAATACACAGTAGTTCTGAAAGAAAAGAAAATGTTACTGTCATTATAATGTTGGCTTTAGAACCTAATTAACTTTGTTTTTGTTGGACTGACATGGGTACAAACTAATATAAGTTAGAAGTCCAGACATATCACTTTTTTTAATAGATAACCATATTAATTAGTTATTTCTGATCAAAAGAAAACTACCAATATAGATAAGAGTTGAAAACTTACCTTATCAATTAATAAAGATAACTCTCTACAATGACTAGAGGTAAATAATGTCTTAAATCAATACAAAATAATATTAAAATCGATAATGATTGAAGATAACTATCTACAATGACTAGAGGTAAATAATGACATAAATCAATACAAACTAAAATAAAAAATCTATAATGACTGAAGATAACTCTCCACAATGACTAGAGGTAAATAATGTCATAAATGAATATAAAATAATATTGAAATCTATAATGACTGAAGATAACTCACTACAATGACTAGAGGTAAATAATGTAATAAATCAATATAAAATAATATTAAAATCGATAATGACTGAAGATAACTCTCTACAATGACGAGAGGTAAATGCCATAAATCAATACAAAATAAAATAAATATATACAATGACTAGAATGCATTGACTCCTTAAATGGGTATATCCTTGCTTTTAGCAATATTATCAATCATTAATACCATTTTAAAAATAGCATTAGTAAGAAAATATTATTCAGATACCAAGAGTGTTTACAAACTTTTTATAAGCTCTTATATTCAAGTTACATAACTTCACTAGGGGCAGCATTGCCTAGTGGTCAAAAGGTTGCCAGTTTAAAAACAGCCTGGGACATGTCACTGTATTCTTGACAAGATTCTTTACACTAAATACTTCAGTTTACCCAACTGTATGATGGGTACCAACAGGTAGCTCAAGGTTAAGATGAAATGGACTGACAAACCATCCAGGAAAAATATGTTATCATACTTATTCACTTGTGGCAGAGGAAACCAGAGTTAAGCACCAGCCTTATGTGCATTTTAAATCAGGAAAAACAGTTTATCCTCAGCTCTAAGAATCACAAGACTATTTTGGACCACAAACTAATGTTTATCTTCAGCTCTAAGAATCACAAGACTATTTTGGACCACAAACTAATGTTTATCCTCAGCTCTAAGAATAACAAGACTATTTTGAACCATGAACCAATGTTTATCCTCAGCTCTAAGAATCACAAGTCTCTTATCTGAACCATGAACTACTGTTTATCCTCAGTTCTAACAATCAAAAGACTTGAATCATGAACTAATGTTTATTCTCAGCTCTAAGAATCACAAGACTCTATCTTGAACCATGAACTACTGTTTTTCCTCAGCTCTAGGAATCTCAAGACTCTATTCTGAACCATGAACTACTGTTTATCCTCAGCTCTAAGAATCACAAGACTCTATTTTGAACCATGAAATACTGTTTATTCTCAGCTCTAAGAACCACAAGACTATCTTGAACCATGAACTACTGTTTATCCTCAGTTCTAACAATCACAAGACTATCTTGAACCATGAACTACTGTTTATCCTCAGTTCTAACTATCAGAAGACTCTATCTTGAATTTTGAACAACTGTTCATATTTGACTCACCTAATTCTGTTAAAGTTAGTCATTTATTCTGATGATATTTCACGTAGTTAGTAAGTGTTAAAGCAGTGCTGGAAGTATGTCCAAGTCTTACTGTTCTTATATTCTTCCATGCAATAAAGATACTTAACTTACAAATAAGTGTTGAGTGTTTTGTCTTGGCAACTAAATCCTTAAAATTAAATACATTTTTAATTCCAAAAACTAGTCTCAGGGCACACTGAATTTGCAGTTGTGGATATATCTCGCCTAAGTAATTTACTTACCAATGTTCTTTTTTAACATGGCACAATTTTTTTTGTTTTTGTAAATGACAAACTGTAGAAATTTATAAGTGGTCATCGATCCAACATATCTTGGATAATGTTAATTTTACAAGTTGTTTCTTTGTATTAAAGTTATTAAAATGTATCTTATTTTACGGATGTAGTTTCCAAAAAGAAAACTGTAAGTAGTTGTTTGGACATTCATGTGTTCTTGCTGTACAGAAGAATAAGGAAATGTTTCTAGTATTGTTCAAACACTAGCTAAATATAATGTTATCTTAACAACTGAGAGGGCTAGAAACAGTTAGTCTTGTACCTACATGTCTGATGTTGGCTTTAAATGAACAAAATTCAACCTTCAAACTGTACACTAGCTATTAAACAACACATTAGTGGACTTAAAATATTTTTGCAAGCAAGCTTTATTAGACTGGAAACAAGAAAACTGAAGTAAGGTAATAGGTTTGATTTAGTTATATGTATAAAACAAATTTGTAGAAAAACTCAAGTTGAATTATTACAATCTAGTCATAAAGTATCAGCTGCATCTCAGAAATAGTTGAATACCTTTAGTAATTTTTTACATTCCTCTTCAGACAAAGACTCCCCGAGCTGATCTTCAACCTTCTTTTGTAACATACCTGGTCGGAGTCGAGCAGTGGTGGCAAACGCCTCTATTAAAACTTCTCGAATCTGTACGAGATTTTATAAATTCAAAGGGTATTTGTTTATTGTGTTGGACAAACTTAATCAACATGTAACTGATGTCATTAACTCGTGATCCTAATTAAATCAAGCAATCTAATGAGAAACTTGTTATGTGTCAGAACAGCTGATGGGGAATATTTACATATCTTAAAATCATTTTCATTATTTTTCTTTGCCAAGTTCAGTAAATCTCACAAGGATATCTTTTTCAGTTCCATTCATGAAAACTTCCTTTACCCCTGATTAACACAGTAACTGCTGTAATATGATATGTGCCAATAATAATTTTAGGACAACATCGTTGTGTTTTCAACCTAACCAATAGCAATAACAACAAATCTAAAACACGTAATCGTTACATTTTTATTTACAAAGCACATGTTCATCCCCGACAGTGAACGTGTTAAAAAACATCTAAAGAGATACATAAAGTATCACCTTACCCTGTCTAAGTGGTCTCCAAAGTGGGTAAATACAAATAAAGGCTCAGGAGTCGTGTTCTGTGGCCACTGCCAAATACAAGATTTCATCTCATCATTAAAGAAGAAAACATAAATATCTTGGGTCATAAAATAACTTTAGGTAAAAAAATGTAACTACCTAAAGATATACACAAACACATGTTTGTTCAAAGTTTCATTTATCAGTTTACAATCACTCATGATAATGTGAGAGACCTAAACATTCCAGTACCAGAAAATAATTCCCGAAAACAATGTGACAAACATCACTATTTGTAGTATCAGATAACAATCACCCATATTGAAAGCCAAATGTAAGTGATCTGGTACTAGTGTATAATCACCAATATTGATTTAAATATTTTTTGTACCAGTTTAGAACCATCTGTAATATTAAAAACAAAACTGGTGAAGCATTACAACTATAGCTTAAAATACGGATAAAACCACAAATAAGTAAGGTTTATGAAATACCAATGAAATCTTTATTAATAAAACAAAATTCTCAAATTATTTGCTCAGAACTGCTGAATTTTCTCTCACTCTCTCTTTTGTTTATAAGTAATCGTACATTCTCTGTAACCATATATATATATACACATGGATCACTTCTATTAACCTAGCATTAAATAACCACTCTTAAATAAGGTTAATTGTATCTGGTATTTTCTATTTTAATAATATTTGTTAACTGTATACCAGTAACAAATATAAAGTACACAAATGTACAAAACTGAACTAATGTTTTATTCTGCCTACTTTCTTATACTTAACAATTTCTATTGCTTCAAGTTGTTAATGAGCACAAACATATCAGACAAACATTGCACACAACTTATCCTGCACTGGAACTTAAATGTTTAGATATATATTAAAGATTTCCGTGACAAACTTTTACCTACTTTATTCTGTAACCTAACGCCACCAACAGCTAGAACAGCTTCCTCGAGAAGTTCATCTGACACACTGCCACTAAAAATGTGGCTCCCCGATGTCTTCAGGTCTAAAAAATGACGAAGGTCCCTCAGAGACAAACAAAGTTGATCCTGGAGTTTCTCTCTGGTGAAGTTGAAAAGCTCTTCTTTCAGTTCTGGTGATAGCATGTAAGCTGATGTGGTAGGAGATATTTCAAAAGTTGCCATGCGAGGATGAGGTGGGCCATTAACAACTTTACTGGTTGTTGCTTTATTCGCTTCTAAACTGACAGGGGGTTGTATGGGCCCATTGGTGACCTTCTGTGGTGACCAGGGGGGTTTCTTTGGTTTAGGTGACCCCATGATTCCTAAAACCTTCACAGGAGACTTTGGTTCTTTTTTAGTTTCTATACCTCCATCAGTCCCACTTCCTTCGTTGTCATCACTAGTTGACGATCGATGAGATTTTGTACGTTTCCGTTGTTTTGTTCGAGGTAACTTGGGTGAAGCTGGAACCTCTTCTGAAGGACAATGAACAAAGATGATGAAAATATTCAATTACTTTCAAACTCTTCAACTTATTTTATAAAATATTTTATCCTAGTGTAAAAAAATTACTTTAAATTCTCATTTTTAACTTCTTTACTAAGGAAAAGTGAGATACAGAATTTTAAAAATTACATTCCAACATTTACTCTGTTGTTTCACTTTTTATCAACATAGTTTTTTGTAAATAAGTGAACGAAATTTTGCACAATCTGAACACACATTTTCACTCACAAAAAAAGATGAGACTAAACTCAAGATCTTTGAACTTTAGTAATCAAAGCTTAAAAAGAAAGACAACAGAATATTAAGGATTTAAGTTTTGGTTTGTCAAATTACCAGTAATAAAAAACTATTTATAAATGAGTTACATCAATGTTTGTTTTAACATTAAACTTAGTGAGCATGAACTATCTTAAGAATAAAAATTAGAAGGGGGTTCGTACACCATTTTGAAAAATAAATTCCATGAAATTTTCATGACACTGACTCTAAATTTCATGACATATTTTGGCCATCCGAATACATTTATACATCTTCAGATAGATCAAGTAAAAGGCAGATTACAGTTTAACAAAATTTATTTCCAATTCTTAATCACTTTACTTTGAGTCAAATGACATATGAAATGTTAACAAATATATATATCAATATCAAAAATTACTAATGGTGTTTACTTCTGCCAGCTTACTGTTAATTACAGCATTATAGGGTACCTTTTACTGACTACAAAGAAAATTCCATGACTTTTATGCTAAAAACCCATTTCTTCCAGGATTTCCAGGTATGGAAAAATTATTTAAAAATTCCATGCCTTTTTCAGGATTTTAATGACCATACGAAGTCTGTTAGAAATTAAAGAGAACATGAAAATCCATAGCTTCAAATACGAATGGCCAATATCAAGTGTTTGTAAAGTAGAAGTAAAAGAGATAGAATTTGAAATAACAATCAATAATGTACCATAAATACCCGTCTACAGTGCACATCTACCAAACTTTTTGAGCTCAAATATGAAGTGCACACTAAACGAGGGAACGGTATTATTCCAGAATTTTTTAGGTGAAATTTTCAGTCCAATTGTTGCCTCAACACATATTATATTCTGACGTAATAATCGTCTTTCCTTGTCAGATCACCATGGATTCTTGGGGTCTACTTTGACTAAAGCCTGAACTCCTTTCATGCCTTAAGTCATACACGTATACCGGATTTGTTTTGTCAACAAAAGAACTGCATGGTTTATTTGCTAATAAAGATCAGTGAAAATATAATCGGGCAAAACTTTTTGGGAGCTTTTTGCGCTGGATGGTAAGATGATTTTGTTATCCTATGGTACAATACATTTTTAGAGTAACGTTCAGTTGTAGTCACTATCTTGTGCTTTATGTACAGGGCATGATTTAAAAACACATATACTGCTGAAAAATCAAAGTTATTATTTTATACGTGAAATTAAAATGTGAAACGTAGCACTTCAATTACAAGGGTACTGACAATAGTAGAAAACCTTTATCATCACCTTTATTTTCCTGACGAGTTAAACTTAGAACTCGAGACAACTGGAGCCAGCGAGCTTCCCAGAGCATTTGTTGTCTTTGGAATACATCAGGAAAACTGAAAATTAGTTCAACAATGAGAACAGGTTTTCTGTATAATAAACACATTACATTAATGGTGGTGTACCTTCCTAATGAAGACGGGTTTTCTCTATAATAAACACATTACATTAATGGTGGTTTACCTTCCTAATGAGGACGGGTTTTCTCCATAATAAACACATTACATTAATGGTGGTTTACCTTCCTAATGAGGACGGGTTTTCTCTATAATAAACACATTACATTAATGGTGGTTTACCTTCCTAATGAAGACAGGTTTTCTCTATAATAAACACATTACATTAATGGTGGTTTACCTTCCTAATGAAGACAGGTTTTCTCTATAATAAACACATTACATTAATGGTGGTTTACCTTCCTAATGAAGACAGGTTTTCTCTATAATCAACACATTACATTAATGGTGGTTTACCATCCTAATGAGGACAGGTTTTCTCTATAATCAACACATTACATTAATGGTGGTTTACCATCCTAATGAGGACGGGTTTTCTCTATAATAAACACATTACATTAATGGTGGTTTACTTTCCTAATGAAGACAGGTTTTCTCTATAATAAACACATTACATTAATGGTGGTTTACCTTCCTAATGAGGACAGGTTTTCTCTATAATAAACACATTACATTAATGGTGGTTTACCATCTTGGTGAAGATGGATTTTCTCTATAATAAACACATTACATTAATGGTGATTCCTCTCCAGGTATAACAGGCAGCTACTAGAGAAAATGAGCACAAATAAAGAACAAACTAATTTTATATAATTTCAAAATTAATCAAATGCAGAAGAAAACAAAAGGTATATTTCATTTAAAAAACAAAACAAATAAAATCATTGTTTTCTGTTTCAAATAATCAAAGCAAAAATTTTCAACATAAATATGTTTGTTAGTTTGTTTTGAATTTTGTGCAAAGCTACATGAGGGCTATTTGAGCTAGCCATCCCTAATTTAGCAGTGAAAGACTAGAGGGAAGGCAGCTAGTCATCATCACCCACTGCCAACTCTTGGGCTACTCTTTTACCAACGAATAGTGGGATTGACCATCACATTATAATGCCCCCATGGGCCAACATAAATATGAACAGAAGTGTTAACACTGAATCAAATATAACGCATGCATTCTTAGGCAATCAGTAAATACAGAGGGCCTGTAGTACTGATGTATAATCTACATAATCTTCACAGAGATATTACATCATAAAATTAACATTAGTTTGTTTAGTTGTGATACAAGTGAAATTTGTCTTACTTATATAAAAAATGATTTTTAAAATTAGGCTTAGAGCTTATGGGTGCAAAATAAATGTCTTATCTGGAAAAGTTGAGGACACCACATACTGACATCATAACTTTCAACCACTAGTACAGACTCTGTTTTATAACTTTGAAGAAGAATGCACAAAATCATCAGCAATTTACTAATTATAATGAACTTTATTTCTTTAAATTACTTTTAAGTAAAGTTAGAAGCTCACATCTTGTTTAGTGTTCAAATATTAAAACACGGCTGCAAAGTTTATGGTAGTAAAAAAAACCATTAAGATGTAGGATCAAAACGTTGTCGGTAACTCCGTTAAATAAATAAAACAAAAAAATAACCTTAGTGGAGAGAAAAAAAAATTGAAGGATCAAGAGTTTGGTAAATAATATTACAAAAAACTGCCTGAAACCTTACTGGTTTTAACAAGTGTACTTCTCAGAATCAAAGTTTGTAATACTACATTTTATACACAAAGGATTATATGCCAGGTAAAAATATGATCTAAAATACATCAACATTTGAAGAGACAGCTACTGCCAATGTTTGTAGACAGCTGCTACCAATTTTGTAGAGACAGTTGCTACCAATGCTTGTAGAGACAGTTGCTACCAATGTTTGTGGAGACAACAGCTGCCAATGCTTGTAGAGACAGTTGCTACCAATGCTTGTGGAGACAACAGCTGCCAATGCTTGTAGAGACAGGTGCTACCAATGTTTGTGGAGACAGCAGCTGCCAATGTTTGTACAGACAGGTGCTACCAATGTTTGTGGAGACAGCAGCTGCCAATGTTTGTACAGACAGGTGCTGCCAATGTCTGTGCAGACAGGTGCTACCAATGTTTGTGGAGACACTCACTACCGACAATGTTTGTGGAGACACCAGCTACTGCCAATGTTTGTATAGACAGGTACAACCAATATTTGTGGAGACAGCTGCTGCCAATGTTTATGTAGACACCTGCTACCAATATCTGTAGAGACAGCTACTGCCAATGTTTGTAGAGACAGCTGCTACCAATATTTGTAGAGACAGCTGCTGCCAATGTTTGTAGACACTTGCTACCAATATTTGTAGACAGTTGCTACCAATGCTTGTGGAGACAACAGCTGCCAATGCTTGTAGAGACAGGTGCTACCAATGTTTGTGGAGACAGGCATTACCATTGTTTGTGGAGACAGCTACTGCCAATGTTTGTATAGACAGGTACAACCAATATTTGTGGAGACAGCTACTGTCAATGTTTGTATAGACAGGTACAACCAATATTTGTGAATAGCAGCAGCAGCTGTCTCCACAGATATTGGTTGTACCTGTCTATACAAACATTGGCAGTAGCTGTCCCAATGTTTGTAAACTTTATCAGTTTTTGAACAAATAATCATCCCCTTATTGTAATGGTGATACAATTATTCAATTCTGAAGAATGCCCAGAAAGTTTAATAATTTTATTACTAGATGGAGTATTCATTGCAGTGGTCAAGTGTTAAATATTTTTTTGGACTTTAGAAATTAATGGCACTTTCTTTTCATTTAAAATATTTTGTGTGGAATTCAGCTTTATTTGAAATAGTATTTTAAAACTTAAAAACTAATGCATTTTGATTTGATTATACAGTCTCTTCATTTTCAAATACACTTTTCAGGTATACTAACACCAAAGAATAAAAATGGTTCCTCATTAGCTGAAAAATATCGAAACCATTCTCAAATATTAGTCTTTAAAATGCTCTTCACTCGTTCAATAAACAAACTACAAGACTGGATCAACACTACTTCCTGAAACTGTAGGTATGGTAAGTGATCATATGAAGGCACTTACCAAGCTACAATGACAGAAATCTCCATGTTTACATTTGATCAAGTTATAAATTACAGTAAATAATTGCCAAAAGAATCAGACATTCCACTTGCACTGTTATGTGTAATAGCATTAAAATGTGTTTTATCGAGTGGCCATATTTAAAACACTGAGTATTGTTTTAGATGGTTACAAAGAAGTTAAGAATGATAAGGTGTTTCAATTCTACCACTTTATAACAGTGCGTGTTGTTTTGGGTAATTACTAAGATTAGATATGAAGTTTTCAGTTTTTACCCTTCACAAACAACAGTGTTGTTTTGGGTAAACATTACACAATACATATTACACTGTAACAGAAGTGTAGTTGCAATAACCAAGTTTTCTCAAACTTATTAGTGAACGTGAACAAAGAGGAATAGCAGCTTGATGTTGTTATAACAAATGGAAATAGTTGGTAAACTTTTCAAGTTAATTTTTATAGTTCATAAAATGATTACTTTTCACAAGTCATAAACCACTGAAACTTGCTATCATGCAGCATTCAAACAGTGGGAGATTTTTTTTCTTGTTGACACAAACCATTTGAGAATGTCTGAAGAGTGATTACACATTAAATGTCACTCCTGTAAAATTTGTTCTTTTGATTGGTTAAACAATAGTTGTTGTATTAAGAATTAAACACACACCATCTAAACATTATAAGTATCAACTCCTTTCACACATTTCAGTTGATCATTGTAGTGTAGCACAACGTGTTATATTTAGCGACTCAATAAAATTTATTGAATACATAGTGTATTCACGACTTAAGAGTTTTTGTTTGTTTGTTTAGAATTTTGCACAAAGCTACCGAGAGCTATTTGTGCTAGCCGTCCTAATTTAGCAGCAAAAGACTAGAGGGAAGGCAGCTAATCATCACCACCCACTGCCAACTCTTGGGTTACTCTTTTACTTAGGAATAGTGGGATTGATCATCACATTATAATGCCCCCATGGCTGAAAGGGCAAGCATGTTTGGTGTGATGGGGATTCGAACCCTCGACCTGCATATTGCGAGTTGAGCCCCCTAACCAGCTGACCATGCCGGGCCTGATGTAAGAGAAGTGATATGGTAGAGTAAGTATGAAACAAAAAATACATTATTTCCCTCCTTTCCAAGACAATTGTTTAATTAATCAACAACATTGTTAAGAAAACATGACTGAAAATAACACTTTCTTTGGTGCCATGTTGTTATAGTTGAAGTTCCACATCTATTTTCTAATCCAACTGTTAGTGCTACCCTGTTCTGTTTAGCTATCTATTACACATGTTTAATTAATCAAAGATTTTATGTTAAAAAGATTTGTTTTGCTTAAGTCAGCTGTAGTTCTCTTCATTGTCTGCATCAGGGTGCTCCTGCAATGTAAACTTCTCAAATATAGCTACGAGTACCACCAAATATGTACAAAAACATTTATTTACTAGTTAAGATTTAAAAACATGATAACTGTTCTATATAACATACTTCTAAACTATATGTGAATGTCTTATTTCATTTATATGGATTACCTGTAAACTAGTAATTATGATGATGTCATAATTATATTATATGGATAACTTGTAAACTAGTAATTATGATAATGTCATAATTATATTATATGGATAACTTGTAAACTAGTAATTATGATGATGATGATGTCATAATTAAATTATGCAAATTAGTGTTTTAGAAGGTTCAAACCTTTGTTTGGTAACATGTTCCAAACGTTTAGGGTCAAAAACTACTCTTCATTCAAACCCTACCCACTTCACTGTCAAAGGTATCCAAGCACTCCTTAAGCCCACTCAACATGTACAAAAATGTACAATACAGAGATACACCAGACAGACATTGAATTGTTAGAAAGGTGTCAAAACATCATTAATAGTGAAATGAAAAGGGAGAAATTATCAATTGATTGCAGTGCAGAAAATCAATAAATAAACAGCATTGTTTTGTTGCATGTCACTGAATGTGCAAAATTATCAAGTGATTGCAGTGCAGAAAATCAATAAATCAATCAGCAGTGTTTGGTTGCATGTCACTGAATGTGCAAAATTATCAAGTGATTGCAGTGCAGAAAATCAATAAATCAATCAGCAGTGTTTGGTTGCATGTCACTGAATGTGCAAAATTATCAAGTGATTGCAGTGCAGAAAATCAATAAATCAATCAGCAGTGTTTGGTTGCATGTCACTGAATGTGCAAAATTATCAAGTGATTGCAGTGCAGAAAATCAATAAATCAATCAGCAGTGTTTGGTTGCATGTCACTGAATGTGCAAAAGACCGTACAAAACCAACTGGGATGTTGAGAGCACGGAATTTAAAAATATTCACATTTCTTTAACATGCAATTGAAGCGTGACAAACATTCATTTATTATGATTGCACAAACATCTGTGAGGTCTGTGTAGTGTGCTCTCCATGGATGTAAAGAAACTTAATCGCCGATAACGAGAGATGTTTCAGCCAGTATTGAAGTTATAACTGAATACAGGACTGAGAGCTTACGGGTAGAAAGTTCAGCTATAGCTGTATTGAGTCAGTTGTGAGGATCTGAGATGGTGGTGTTACATGCATTCTGTATCTTCGGTATGGGGATAATCTCCCTAAGTCTTACCATATCTAATGGATTCAGTTGTGAGGATCTGAGATGGTGGTGTTACATGGATTCTGTATCTTCAGTATGGGGATAATCTCCCTAAGTCTTACCATATCTAATGGATTCAGTTGTGAGGATCTGAGATGGTGGTGTTACGTGCATTCTGTATCTTCAGTATGGGGATAATCTCCCTAAGTCTTACCATATCTAATGGATTCAGTTGTGAGGATCTGAGATGGTGGTGTTATGTGCATTCTGTATCTTCAGTATGGGGATAATCTCCCTAAGTCTTACCATATCTAATGGATTCAGTTGTGAATGATTGTGGCAGTTGATTTAGGTGTACTTCATTACATGAACTGTACTTCAAATGTTTCCATATCTAATGCTCAAGGATACTAAGAAGTTATAAAATATGTTTCAGGAAGCGAGTTGTTCCAGCAACACAATGATTAACTGGTTTCAAAATAAAGATATGAACATTTTAAATGCTCCCCTCCCTGAGTTATGACCTATAAAACATCCCTCAGATTATGGTCATCATTAACTAACCAAACTTTTGAAACAACATTAGAGACAAACTGAAAAAGACACCATATGGAACCTAGTCAAGAGCATGCTATGTGAAAGAACAGCAATTATTGACGACAACTGTATTATATAATGATGATAGTGATCCGAAAGACCTTCTTCTGAAACCATCTGTCCAAAATCTTCTGGCAAGGCATGGTATGTGTCTGTACAATAACTACTAGCTGTAATCAATATTGTGTTTATCCAGTTACAAAGAAATGGTAACTCTCAAATATTACCCTTTTATTGTTGTAGTGAACTGTACCCACATTCTAACACGATACTGTTTCAGTTAACAGCACTTATATAGCTGCAGAAACAGAAAACAGGCTTTACAAAAATGTAAAGATTTTAATAAATCTAGTAGCTATTTGTAAGTAATAAATTTTGGAAATAAAAAAATAACAAACCAAAATAAACAATAAGTCGGCTAATAATAAGAGAAAGACTGTAGCCTGAAAACTTGAAAAATAAATACAGTATACCAGAAACTCAGATATAATAGTGATTTTTAAGTTATCTGTTTGATAAGAGTGTATAAGAAGCAGCATTTTAGGCGTGATGTATCAGATTTCACTTACTTTTCAATAAAATGTTGGTCGAAAGGAAGTAGGAACTCCCAGCCTTGAGTACAGGTACGTCTACCCAGCTGCTCCATGATGTGCAGCAAGTCGTCATTAGGTAGCTGTCGCAAGCAATAACAACAGATTAACAAATATAAATCATCACAAGAGATTTTTTAATTCTCATATTACCAACTTGCTTCTATGCTGCTTAATACGAGTGGAGTTCACACATCGCCGATATTTTCTAAGTAAAATAGAAACTATACCCCAGATTAATGGGGTTAACTGGATTATTGATTATTAATACAGTATGCGTGTCTTCACAAAATATCAGATGTTTTAATTAAAAGGTTTTTAAGATTTTTTTAATTAAAGCTTTACTTTTTTGTTTTTGAATGTTAATTATCTCACGTGCAAAGTAATTTTGATTTTAAGAATAAGAATACCTTTTTTGCATCAGAAAACAGTCGTGTCATTTTCAAAATCTCTATAACCTCCTAGTCAAATCCAGATAAATATTAAATGTTTTTTTTTAGAAACCTTTATATTCTATCTGTTATTTTCTGTATGAGTTTGGTCGTAACCACCAGAAAATATTAGAAGATTTAAGTTGCAATTTTGTAATTCAAAATTACTTTGCATGTTGGATAGTCAACACTTGGAAAGAAAAAATGCATGAGCAAATTGTTACTTAAAAAAACTTAATAAAAAGACAATGAAACCTTGAAATGTTTACTGATAATATGCAAAATTTCATGAAGATATGCTTACTGTATTAAAAGCTGTAGTGGACTGAGCCCATAGTGGGATAGTTAACAATATGCAAATCGGTGGTTCTTTCTACAGAGTTACATTCAAAACTTAATTAAACATCTTTATCATCAATGTATGTAAATAAACTTGGCATCAAAACATAGTTTACAATTACAAGTTTTATATTATTTAAGCTTTACTTTCTTAAATATTTAAATAAATTCTTAATCTTAACTTCTCTGTGTCACACGATTCATCTTGCCTCTAATTTCTCCTTCCATGTGTCCAACCAATTAGAAACACAGACTATATATATATTGGAAGATCATAATATAAAATGTAAACCTCCCACATTTTTGATTTGCTGATATATATAAATACATTTGGTCAACCGACCAGTGAAGCATCGTCCACATATCATGTAAAACATTTATATAAACCATGTATCCTTATTTATTGGTCATGTTTGTAAGCAATGGCAAAAGAAAATTTAAACAGAAATCTTCTATTGCTCAGTTGTTTAGTTTCGGCAGTCAAAGTTTACAAGAAAATGTTGTCTAGTGAGTGAAATCAAAGCTCCAAGCAGTAACGAAATTCTTTTTTAGCTTATTTAGAAAGCCAAATAATTATAGTAGTTTTGAGACATTTTATTCTAATGCCTGAGAAAAAAGTAGATTTAGTATAAGTATGGGACCTGAATAAAAATAGTCTCAAGGTTAAAGTAAGTGCTAAATTTCTTGTTATATATATATATATATATATTTATTTGATTTATTGTTATATTTTTGACCTAAGTAATTACAACATAAAAAATTAGAAACTCATTAGGTTAGATAAAACTTAAATTAAAAATTCCTTGTGATACTAGTTTGTGGAAAGCATGGGGTTTGGGGTAACCTGACTGTCTGATCACCCTGAGGTCTCCTGCTGAAGCATGGGGTTTGGGGTAACCTGACTGTCTGATTACCCTGAAGTCTCCTGCTGAAGCATGGGGTTTGGGGTAACCTGACTGTCTGATTACCCTGAGGTCTCCCGCTGAAGCATGGGGTTTGAGGTAACCTGACTGTCTGATTACCCTGAGGTCTCCCGCTGAAGCATGGGGTAACCTAACTGTCTGATTACCCTGAGGTCTCCCGCTGAAGCATGGGGTAACCTGACTGTCTGATTACCTTGAGGTCTCCTGCTGAAGCATGGGGTAACCTGACTGTCTGATTACCCTGAGGTCTCCCGCTGAAGCATGAAGTAACCTGACTGTCTGATTACCGTGAGGTCTCCTGCTGAAGCATGGGGTAACCTGACTGTCTGATTACCTTGAGGTCTCCTGCTGAAGCATGGGGTAACCTGACTGTCTGATTACCTTGAGGTCTCCTGCTGAAGCATGGGGTAACCTGACTGTCTGATTACCCTGAGGTCTCCCGCTGAAGGCTTTATTGCTTTTAATGTACTGAAGGAAGGTTCAAAGTACAATAAAATTATAAAATTAAGTTAAAGCAGATGTACAAATGCTAGAAGCAATGCTGTTAGAATAAATAATTGTAACAATCTGTTACAATCTTCAGTCATTATAGAAAAATAAATTAATTCCACATTTTCAAACTCGTATAGATGAATTTAGGGTACAGAAAATAAGAGATAAATTATAAAGTTTTACAGAAAAAATGTTTAATATTCATTTAGGAGGTACTAGAGGTTATTCAAACGAAATACGATAGTTGTAAAATGAAAATAACCACTCTTATTCTTAGTATCAAAGTCACGATTTTCCTACACTGAAAATGTATTTCTGATAGGTACTTATCTCCCCTCACATAAATAGCTATTCTCATTCAGTGCTGCCCTCTATATGCAAAAAAAGTATGTATGCCACAAGCTTTCTATCTCCCCTCCATTGGAATTGACTGATTTCAATGCGTCTCTCATGCAAATCATCATGCATCAACCCTCTACCAGTAAGTGTACAACATATTCTCATGATACATGTGACTCTCTCTCTATTCAATTCTACCAAACTATCACATTGAGTTTTGGCATAAAATGGAAGCACTGGTTTTCCATGCGGAGGAAGTGTGACAGGAGGCAAGTACCTATCGGAATACATTTTCAATGTAGGATAATTATAGCTTCTGATATGGTACATTATCTCTCACATAAATAGCTAGAATCCCACATTGAATAGGTGGAGGGAACATTGCGAGGGAAAGAAATAAGCATCCTTTGAAAGCAATCGAAAGACACTCCCTAAGATGAGACAGTCAGATTCTCAGATCTGATGTGGGGAGCCACACCACTTCTGAACCATGTATACTCTTCACCTATCATAGAAAGATGTTGCATATATGGGTAGAAAACAGAGGAGCACATCCAATTGGAAGAGAACTATAACCGGAAAGTGATCCAAACTATGCATTATTTATGAAACTCAATCTCAGAAATTATAAAAGTGGGTAAAATGAAAAGGATGTGACCCTAGGTGTAGAGTGGCTAGAGCACGACAGACTGTACATGGCAAGTCAACTACACCCAAAACCCATACTGCTGGGAACCGACATCCACGTGAGGGTAGGATGAGGCTCATGCTGTTGGTAAGTCAACTACAATCCCAAACCTGGCCATCAGGTATCGACATCCATGTGGGAGTAGAAAAGAGGATCATACCTATGGCAAGTCAACTACAATCAAAACCCAGCCATCTGGCAGGGGTAGAAAAGAGGATCATACTCAAGTTTATGAGACCGGAGTACCCTCTGACTCACGAACGGGGCACATGTGAATATGATAAATTGATATATAGATCAGGGAACCTGACATCCAGTATTGAAAAGATGTCTACATAATGTAAACCATCTCCCCCAAAAGTGAAGTTGACCAGAACCACCCCAAGCCCATTAATATCCCACCCACTTGGAACCAACATCAACATGGGGGGTAGGATGATGGATCCTGAGAAATCATGTAGAAAAATAGCATATTAGGCCTAGCTGATTCTGCATAAGGGGCAGGGAAAAATATGTCCAGTGGTGTAAAAAGTCTATTAAACCTTCATCATCCCGAACAGGTTTACCCATATAACGATCAACCTCACTATGGTTAATAACATAAAAATCCAATGACAGGTCTACCCCCCACCTGCAGCCTGTGAAAATAGTGCCAAAGGTATAACACTCGAAGTGGGAACATGAAGTGTATGTAGAAATATGTAAATCAAAGAAAATTGTTTGATGTAAAATATGGGAGTGTGAGAAAAAAATAAAATAAAGACTGTGAAATTAAGTTAAATTAAAACATTTTTTCAATGTAAAGACGAAAATAATAACGATGAAGAAATCCCACTTCACACGAAGAGCACCAAAAGAAAAATCATCTGAACACGAGTACTGCCAAACGAGAAGTGATAGTTTGGTAGAATTGAATAGAGGGAGCCACAAATGCATCATGAGAGAATGTTGTATTTGTATTGGTGGCAGATTGACACATAATGATTTGCATGAGAGACACATTGGAATCAATCAATTCCAATGGAGGGGAAATAGAAGGCTTGTGGCATATAGAGGGCAGCACTGAACAAGAATAGCTATTTATGTGAGTAGAGGTGATGTACCCTACCAGAGATCACCTTTCACTCAGACAGAATCAGTAAAGGCTTTGTAAATGCACAGAGAAATTTTTACTATAAATACTTTATTAAAAAATCTTAATTTTTTGCATCAACAGACTTGTCAAATATCAGGAAAATATACTTAAAATAAGACCCTAAACTCGAGCACTTTCGAATAGTTGAATATTCCAAAGCCCCCAAGTTTTGGGTCTTATTTTAAATCTGTTACACTTTATATGTGATTCTTTGTGCTAACTCTTTCATCAAAAAGAAAAATATACTTATTATATTTAGTTATAGTATGCAAAGTTTCATAGTTACATAATGGTTACCAAGTTGGTCAAATTGTTCAAGCCTGTATGCATAGGTTTTTAACCAAAATAGTTAAAAACAAACAGATTAAACCACAATAACAAGGATGATTATATATTTGTCAACTTTTAATTTCCTCATCAAAATGTGTAATTTTAGTGAAGAAATGAAAGAACCCATGAATGAAGTACAGACCTAACATATTCTTAGATTCACTACTCACCCTGCAGTAGACCATATTTTCACTGCATTACGGCTCCTTAGTACCACTAAATTATTTTAGGTTATTAGTGGCGAGTAAAGGACTTTATATCAAATCTTACAAAGCGTGATAATAACAAAAACCAAAAAATTAAAACTTGTGTAAAACGCTACTGTATAGTTAGTTATGTATCTGCTTGATTGTTAATGTACGGTAGAAGTT